CTCTGATATAACCTGTTAGATGGAGCTTGGCCTTCAGTTTGGAGATGGCACTGAAGAACAATCCAAATGATACTGCAAGTTGGTTTTGTGCAACACCCACTTGAAGTTGTCCTATAGAACAAGCCTAATTCAGATCAGTCAAACATGGCGTGCTTGGAGTAGACACCAGTTGACCGCTGTAGCAGGGCCTGCTAATCACTGACAGTTAGACACTTGATAGCCAGAACTGGAGTACCAAAAGTTCAAAACAAGAGTCAGTAGCAGAACAAGCTATTTGGCATTAGCAGAGAAGATTTGGCAACTTTTTCATGGGCGCAACCCATGTGGTACTATTTAGGGGGAAATGAACAGACTTTAATGGTATAAGATTTCCCAAGAAGCATTGTTACAACAAATAAATAACAGACCAATCCATGACTTGGATCCGGATACACCGAGTCCTTATTATAGCTAATTTAATAAGTTGAGACATATTCTTCAAGACTGGGCAGTCCATTGAAGTATCAAATGAGATCATTTTCTCCTCTGATGTTGAAAAAGAATAATGTGAGATTTCTGTTAAACAGCGTGCAGGAAGGCTGCCTCAATCTGCTGAGACCAGTGAAGGTCTGTGCACTGTAGATGAGCTGATGTTTCCTTTCCCACAACTTCAGAGCCCCGCCTTGTTGTCATCTTGCTTGAGCTCAGGCTCCTTAAAAGCCTGGATGTCGTCCTCTGAGCGTTTGCCTTGCTTTTTTAATCAAAAAGTTCAACGATGTGAGGTTTTGGTTTTTTTTTTAAAACAATGTTTATGTGTTCAGTCGTAACTGTTTTAATGTTAAATAAAAAGAACTTTTTTTAGCAGAAATGAAACCAATATCATTTCATCACATCATTCTGTCATCACGCAAGACTCCATGTTCATGACAAGGGGCAAACAATTAAACAACTACAACACTTAAAATACCTTTAAAAAAAATCCTTGTTTGATATTTAGAGTTTTAGAAAATTATTGTTCAAGTGGATTTTGAAAGTGCATTCAAATTGGTTTATGTAAGTGTCAAAAATGTGAGACACACAATTGACGTCAGCATGGAAGGGGAAGAGGGGGAATGGGGACCCAGGTTAGATGCTGGTGGAGGTAAACAGAGCAAAAG